ATTGGGCCCCGTAACCTGCATCATAACGAACATCGAAGACATGAAGATGGACCTCACTTCACAGTGCTTTTTCCAGCACTGAGCCACGACGACTCGAAACGCAGCTTTTTAGACTTCTTCAAGCCGAACTTGGCGAAATAACCTCATCAACGAGCTTTCCTCTCTGCCTTGGCAACTGCCCCATCCAGAATTCTCAACGCCTGCCCTTTGTGTGCTGAAGGGATCGTGGAGGTCTTGGACCTTGCCTCCCGGAGCAGCAAATCCAATTGTCTCTCCACAATGCGACAATCAAGGATTGCGGTCACGAGTTCTTCCACGAATGTAGTTTCAGGCTCAATGCCTCGAGCCAACATGCCATCGACATACGGTAAGATCTCATCCAAAGGCCGACCGGCATGACAGGAGATCACGAGCGAACAGGTAACCACAGTCGCGTTCAAACCTCGAGCGTCAGCTCCTTAAACAAATAGGCGGCTGCATTCGGGCTGCATGCAACCTTGCATGCGTTCAAGGCCTGGTTCCAATTAAGAATGTTAGGTACTTTGCCCCGTCGCTCCATTTGGTCCAAAAGGCTGGCAGCACAAGTCACGTTGCCTGTTTTCGAGACTGCATACAGCATCGCACACATAGCGGAGCATGCGCTCTCGTTGTCACTCCAAAATTCTTCACCTTGGACATCGTCCAAGACGCCGAAGACATGACTCGTCTGCTCCCGCTCGGCAAAAAGCCGAATTGCACAACAGTAGCTCTTCAAGTTCTTTTTAACACGATATCGTTTCAGGTGGTGAAAGATGTCCAGGCCTTTCTTGCACTGGTCACATCTCAGTGCAGCGGCCATAGCCGTATTGAATACTGCGGCATTGTTTTTACTCGATGCTTCAACAGCTTTCGGCACCGCAAACCATTCACCTCGGCTGGCGGCACTCCTGGATCAGCTCCAGATCCTGCTCTGGAACATCGTCATAGCTATCTCTTGCGCCGATCTCGAGGGCAACACGCTTGCCCTCCTTCTCCCGCTTGATGATACTACTTTTTGCGCTGAAGCAGACATGAAGACACAACTGACGAAGCAGCAACGGAAGCCACAATGCTTCCGAACAAGACGAGGTAACTGGTAACTGTATGCCTGGATGTGTCCCAGAAATCGCTTTAGACTTGGCACGCGTTCCATTGATGTGTGATGACAACGGTATCCGCGGCTGGCTAAAGTAGGTGATGGTCACTTGGACTGATTGAGATCTTCGAGCCCGGGAACCAGTGCACAATACATCTCCAGTGATGCGGACACTCCAGACAGAAGCACTGCTCATGTGCAAGATGTACAGATGGTATGCTCGACTGCCAACCGAGCTACAACAAAAACAAACTACACGTCCCCACTCAATTTGCGGCAATATGTTGAGATGTTGCTGAAACACAACATACGCTGATTCTCCCCTTCCATGTTGACTCTTCGGAGCCGTTCGCCCTAAGCAGTAACACCCTACTAGTAGTTGAACCATGCAAAACTGCTTACCAACACATGATGCGGCTGAATGAGGAACCCTAGCCCTGTAGGCATTTAAGGTTCTATGCAAACCCAGAACTTTTGTGAGACTTGCTGTGCCAAGCAGCGCCAGCAAGGCTTTCTTGCCATCCACCTTACCTGTCACCTGAGTTTGCGGCCTAGGGCTGCTTATAAGCCCTAAACCTCGAATGAGCCCCAAACCAGTCTTTTGGTTGTGCGGATTCCTTCAATGCCTGAGCCTGTTTGAGCTGGAGCCTCCGGACTTACTCGGCACTCGCGTCTCGACATACTCTCTTCCAATTCTGCACTAGTCCATCATCGTAAGAAGGGATGAGAAAACGAAGCAGCCGAAAACCGCTAAGTAGGGACAGTGAGACGACGTGATACCAGAGCACTAACTCGCCAGAACGGACATGCGATGACGCCCCCTCTGCAAAACCTGGGCCTGCGCAGCTGCCATGACGACTGGGTAGAAGTCGTTGTGGCCAAACTCACCTTGCCAGAGTCTCATGGTAACCGCCGTGTTGGCTACTCAGCCTGGAGGGAGCACGCAGCAAGTTTCCCCTGGGCTTATTTAACTCTTCTTGAAGACATGGAACTGCTTTTTGGCGAGCTAAGAGCAAGAGGGCTTGCTTCGCGGAGGGCAGAACTTGAATGCCGTTAGCAGTACGACTACCGCACCTATGTAATCTGTATGACGGCTCACTTCGATGGACCCGCCCTGAAGCTCCCATGAACACTCGTATGCTGCCTGAACAATGCTTCTTATGAATCTCTCTCTGGGATGCCACCTCCAAACTTATGTCCTGTGCTTTTAACTCGAACATCGGTCGCCGCCTGCATCATGGCCAGGGATCTTCGGATTGAATCCTCAGTTGTCGGTGCATGATTCGACACCGAAGCTCTCTCAGGCAGAAACCCTACAGACGAGGAGCCTTATAAGGCTTCTAGGGCCCGGTTTAGGGTTTAGGGTTTGGAATTCTACTCTCTTTCTACTCAGTCTCCATGATTTCTACTCTTGTTGTTGCTATCGGTCTGGTTTAAAAGTTCGGCCACAGTGAACCTTGCACTTTCTGCTGTGACCAGACAAACGAAAACCGCCGTCCCCGCATAGGAGATGTCCTTTGTGGCTAAACATATACAACAGGCCTCAAAACCCTGTGAGTTAAACCCTAAAGCCTAAACCCTAACCCCCTAAACCCCTAAACCCTAGTTATACAAGTCAGTGATCTTGGGGTGGGCCAGTCTGAAGACTAAAGCGTTTCGTGCAGCATGCCCTGCACCTTGATGAAGCCTAAGCTCCAAACCCTGCAGCCGATGAAGCTCAAGCCCCCGAGATCCCAAGCCCTATAATCCTAAATAAGCCGTAAAGTTTAGGGTTTATTTTTTTCCCTCCCACTTAGCTTGGACGAGCCCGCATTGTAGGGTAGGTTCAGATATGTCTGTCATGCAAGTTTAGGGCTTATAGGGTGTAGGGTTTACGCTCTCGCAACTCGGACATGCCAGGCGAGGTTCATGGTGCGAAGTCGGCGTGAAACAGCACTGAACATCCCATAGGCAGAGAAGACCCAAGTCAGCAAGACCAAGTCTAAGCCCCTTACCTGAGGATTTGAGGATTTAGGGTCTTAGGGTCCACCAAACAACAACCAGCTTTAAACCCTTAGCCCTGCAGCGGTTTGCAGCTCAGAGGCCGAAGACAGTGCCATTGGAATCCCACTCCCGCACCTGCGGGGCCAGAGAGCCCAACACCCCTTAATTAAGAAATGTACCTTAAATCATAATATTAGGACCCCTATAATGTAAGGTATATGTGGCTCAGAGGCTCCGACCCAAAGAGCCCAACACCCCTTAATTAAGGAATGTACCTTAATTCAGAATATTAAGGCCCCCTATAATTTAAGGTATATATATGTATGTTCCTTATTTAAAGGATATTGGGCTCTCTGGCTCAGAGGCTCCGACCGAAACGAAACGAAGGACTTCGGGCTGAATTGGGGTTCCCTTTGGTCTCCATTCTAGCTCCTTTTTGGGGGGGGTTACCGTTTAGGGTCCTTAATGTTAAACTGTTAACCCAAAAGAAAGACAAAAAACAATGGCGACTATAGGTAAGATAGGCTTCAGGGCTGATAGGGTATAGGATGTTCAGGGTTTAGGGGTTTACGGTTTAGGGGTTTCAGCACTCACAACTGGGACAAGCCTGGCGAGGTTAGGGTTTAGGGGTTTTTTTCCCTCTCGCATGGCTAAGGATCTATGCCCACAAGCGAGGAAACAGGTTTAGGGGTTTGGGGTTTAGGGTATAGGATGTTCAGGGTGTCGAGTATTTTGGGGGGTTACGGCTCAACCGGAACCAGCAGTGTTGAGGCTCAGCTCCTCCGTTGACCCGCAACTGTAGGGTTCAGTGCTCAGGGTTCGGAACCCTAAACCCGTAAACGCCAAATCCAGGTACCCCTGACTGGTTCCTACCCTTGTTGGGGCTGTAATTAAAAAAATTGATCATGTGTTAATCCTTAATTGGGTTTTGTTATTACAAACATGGCAAAAAATCTATCCAACAAGGACGCAGCTGAGGGATCCTTTTTTAGGAGCCCTTAGCGATTTCAGCCTCGACCCAGAAACCAGCAGGATGCTGATGAAACTTGCGACATCTAGGGACGGGCGACGTGGGGCTAAGGGCTTCTCGTCAGGCAGCGGTCTTACGGTTGATGATATAATTCCTGCATTATCCATAATAAGGAATATACCATAATTCCATTGGTTTAGGGTCCTTCAGGTAATGCAGGATTTATATCATCAACGGTATCACTTGCTTTTTGTTAACGACTCTTTTCCTGTCAGCTCGCACGCCTCACGTTAGGCTTAGAGATTATAGGGCTTGAATTGGCGATGGCTTACGGTTTGGGTGGATGGCAGCTGTAACTCAGCTGCAACTGCATGATCGAAAGAAACGAGTTTTGCGACTCCTTAGTCCAAGGCTCTACAAGTATCAAAGGCTGCACAGGTGCTCGGAAGGGTGCTCATACGCCGGTAACGACAAGCCCTCGTTTTAGCCAGTCGAGCTGCGGCAGAGGCGTTGGCAGCAATCACCTTCTCCGGCGCGCACTTTTCCTTGAGTTGTCACTTCAAGTGACTCGAAACGATGTGAAAGGCCGAAATCATAAACCCCGGCTGCCAGGCAGAGGTCTATGACGTCTCCTCAAACCAACCATCTGAGCCCGTGTTGTTGTGACTGTTCGGTGTGGAACATCGCCGTAGCTTTTGAACTCGATAGCGATTACCAGTAAGACTTTCTCCTCTAGTCTGTTGCCGTTACTATCAATGACAATTCTGGCTGCCAAGCCTTTCGAAACCGAGCTCTCAGACCAGCAAGCCCGACAAAAAGCCTCTCATTGTCGGAACTAGTTTCCCTAATCACTGACATTGTCGATGTCGCAATTTTGCTCCTTACGATTGTTGCCGTGGTCGTTAACATCCTCAAGGACTTTAACCACCGCCATCAACAGAGAAACACACATGTCCTGGCGTGATGAATACCAATGGTAGTTGTAGGGGTAAGACATACCTCTATACAAGTAGCGCTAGTACTGCTGAGTCCATCGCCGCTACTTATGGGAAGGGCGCCAAACCTCTGAAGCCCAATTTGCCGAGCTTCAGCCTGACGCTCCTCAAGCCTCAACCCAGACAACACCAAAGAGCCTTGGGAAAAGAACCCCAGTAAGCCAAGCCCGTTCAGCCGATGGGCGCTGCTACCAAAGACGGTGGCTCCTTTCGTGTCCTTGTAGGTCAGTGCCTCCTGCAAGCAACATAGGACATGCTTAAGGCGTCGCACAAGGCTTCGGGGTGTCTTCAAAAGGCAAACTGCAATGCCTTGACTTTTGGCCGACCCAAACTCGAAACCCCTCGCCCTGCAACTCCATGAACGAAGATCCCTAAAGCCATGTCCAACTAAATCCCACACCCCAAACCTCGAGAGATTTCACAAAGTGCGCCGGACGATCCTCGCGCAACAAGGTCGGGGCATTTGTCTTCAATGCCAGTGCCGAGATGCCGCACATCACCTGGGAGCGGGATTCTGCGGAGGGAGTTTTGCGCTTTGAGGGTCGGATTGAAGTAGCGAGATGACACGAGAACTGTCTTGGGGCCCTGCGGAATCTGTGTGGAACATCTCCACGCGCTCATAGACGGAAGCATCAACATTGTCGCCGTACTTCCCATCTATGAGGTCCTGGCAGTGCACGATGCGAAGTCGACTTAGAAAGCACCTTTTTGCCAGGTCCGATTTTGTGCATTCTACCCAAAAGCCCAAACGGCCCAAAGGTACCGCGGCTGAGAGCTGATCATGCATCTGCTCTCCTTGTGCTGCCGGCACCGTCAAAAAATCGAATGCCCACACTCAAACTCGGACCTTTCCTTCAAGGCTCACCGCGCCTTTTTCAATGCAGCAGGTGCGAAGACAGTAGAACCCAGCACTCTGAGGTTTACCCCTTACTTACGGGCATTTGCTGTGTTCAGCCTACGGAGCCTATCATCATTCCCAACCACCCCCTAAAATTCTCTCCGACCTCAGACCCGGAAAACCCAAACCCTGGGAAAAAACAAGGCAAGGAGGAGCTCCTTGGCGTACTGGCCGATGCCCTGCGCCTGATTGGAGTCTGCCGGCAAAGTGACGGCCTCGCTCGTCAGAGGCTGTCGAAACTCTGGGAGGACTCTGGAGTTTCAAGTCTTTCTGTATGTTCAAGGCTATGGGCTTAGGGTTGTTCTTGAGCTCGGCATCCTACAGCACAAACATGTGGGAACAAAGCCCAAACTGACAGCATGCACGAGATAAATTCCTGGCTTCAAGTAGTTCTGCATCAGGATGCCACAATGAGGAAAGCTACTTCCATATCCCTAGGTGCAGTACCTCAAAATGATGAACCTCGTTCTCCCAGATTTGCTCACGGCTGCCGGCTAGGTGGGGTTGGGAGGTTTATATTGTAGCATCTTATCTACCTGCTATTACCCGCGGTGAGGCATCATGCTCAGAATTCTTTCAAGAACATGACAGTGTGCTACGGATGAAATGCAACATCTTGATATCATCTTCCTGAAGCCCACATCGTCGAAACACTTAAACCTCCCAAACCCTAAATTCCAAAAACCTATGTAGTCGCAATGGCCCTCTAGCTTCAAGCCTAACCATCTTAACCTCTGCGTAACACCCCACGCCAAAACCAAAAAAAAAACAAAGAGAAACGGGCATGGAGGGCTGATCTTCAAAAAGGAGTCTCTGCTACAAGCGGTCTTTTAAAGACCCTCCCCGGCAATTGACCTATCACTCCCCTGTGGATGAGGTCTACTGTCTATTCCTGCACCCGCAAGATACCCATCCCAACGAAGGGGTTTGGGTGATAGACAACTCTCGGTACCTTCCACCGAAGCCTCCGAAAGTTATCTTTTTGGGGTTTTGGGGCAGTCCATGCCAGGCATCCGAGAAGTGGCGCTGCACTCCTCGCGACGGCCGCAGAGACGGTCTCAGGGAGGCAAAGGCGCGCGGAAGCATCCTTCCAGACGGTGAACTTTAGTCTTTAGCATTAATATTTGCTTTTCCTTCGTTTGCCTGCTAACTTTGGTGTTTTGACTTATGTACCTTCCTTCTTCTGGAGTGTAAGCTTTAGCTTGTCTGTGGTCTTGATAGGAATTGATGCACAAGCTATTCCTGTCTTTGTTTTGAAGCGGAGATCAGACAGAACACTCGCCAAAAAAAGAAGCATCACTCAAACAAAGATAATGACCTTCCTTTCCACCGGATTACGGTGAGGAGTTGCCCAAAGATAATGGCATACATATATATATATATACATATATATATATGTATTATATATATATATCTTTCTTTCGGCAGGGCTATGGGCAGGAGGGTTGCCCCCCCTACCCGTGCGCCGTCGGCGCCCCCGACAGTTGCGGAGGGCAGTTATATATATGTATATATATATATATCTCTCTCTCTCTCTCTCCCTCTCTCCCTCTCTCTCGCGCGCTCTCTCTCTCTCTCTCTCTCTCGCTCTGTCTCTCTCCGGGTATGCGGACGCGGGCATCCGCCGCTGTACACCGGGTCGGATGGCCACTGGTGAGCACTGAATCCGAAGCAAACCAAGCTACAACACGCAGACTTTAGGGTTTAGGCTCAGAGATGCTCAAAGCAGCTTCATGCTGCTTTCAGAATCCTGAAACTGCCACATGGTGCCGACGGTGCAGGAAATAGAGATGGATGGATGCTGGCGGTGCGTGGCCAGAGGGTATGAGATGACACCCGTCCTCACAAGCACCAACACCATGAGCTTCAGGAAAGAGGTGGCGCCCCGAAATGAAGCTCTCACGAGCGGGACCCGCATGAGAAACATACGCCCCTCAAACAGATGTACCACTAGTCTTTGGAACCCTAAACCCAAAACCCAAAACCCAAAACCCTAAACCTTAAAACCCATAACCCCATGGAACTCTCTCCACTCAAGCAAGCCCGGCAGTCCTGCCAGCAAGTGGACCAGGTCTCTATGATTTTTGGGCCCGTGCTACTGCAGCGGCGAGAACAAAGGTGCAACCAAGTTTGCGGACACGCCTCTACCCGCGGTTCGTTCAGAGAAGATCGCGAAGTGGCTGCCTTTGGGAACAGAACCATACTGTGCACTTGCGTAGGCGGCGTGAGTTTTTGCGTCACTGCGCCATCGACTTCGATGCTGCTGAGTATTAAAGGCTTCGGGGTGACCATGTTTTATATATGGGTAGTTCTCTAAATTAAGCTCCCTTTTAGGTCCCCCAAAAAGTACAGCACTCTTATAAAAAGGATCCCGAAAGGGACCCTAGTTTAGAAAACTGCCCATTTCTGCAACAACGAAGACCTCAGATAAATTACCCTCTAAAACCCATGCCAAAGCTCTCGCTAACCGCAAGGGCCGCAAAGGGCTCAGGGATTCAGCGTTGAGATGTCGGTGGTTGAGGCTCGGCTGCTACTCTCGCCTTGAGTTTAGAGACCTGTTGGGGGCGGGGCCAGGAATCGTCTGCCGCCGGGGTGGCACTTGCCTGTGCGAAGCGGGGTATCTGCTCGGGGCTTCAGGCTGAATTAGAATTGAGGTTTCAGCACTCACACTCGGACAAGCCTGGGCGAGGGTCCTGGTAGACGACGCAGATTGGCGGACAACAGCACACTAGCCATACAATTGAGGTTTAGGGTTTCAGGTTTTGGGGTTGTCAGATTCTGAAAGAAGGTGTGTAGGAAGATCTTGCATCTAGCCGCCCCCGACCCCCAAGCCCCTGTCTTCATTTCGCAAGAGCCTAGCTGGAACGAGAATTGCTGGAGGTTGAGATGCCACTGAAGGGAAGGGGGTGAGTTACTTCCGCTTGAAGCATCTATTTCTGACCCAAGGATTCTTCCAAGCCATCCTAACAGAGACACCTGAAAGCCCCTACCCGAAATTTCGAAAGCCGAAACACCCACAACAAGCCGCAACAATCCCAAAAGAGAGAAAGTGCCGACAACCCGAATAACCCTGCATCCAAAATCCCGTGTGTGGGGATTCAGCTTCATGGAGTACAAAGATTTTGACACAAACACTGCTTACGGCAAAGGCCTTTTGTCCTCGTGGGGGACGTTGCTTCTGCGACACGGGCGGCCCAGTGATATCAGACGGGAAATGCGCGACAGTTCGGTGACGCTCATTTGTGAGTCTAAACCCTGTATAAATCCTGCTGAATTCACTTCATCACTATAAGCGCAAAGGAAGGCAGCTCTCGACTGAATATGGGAACGTAGTTGATGCTTGATGCAAGCGCGCCTTTGACGCGGGAACCACTTGTCAATGTAAGCGGAAGGAAGGACGGGCCGATAGAAGCGGATTGCGTTGCACAAGCCGTCGCAGCCGAGGTAGCTCCATTTTGACCCCGTCATCCCTTCCCTTAAAGGCTCTAGAGACACAGGATAGAATGGCCACGAGAGCTGTACCGCAACGGGCCCAGTCACTTCTCTTGTGTTCCAGCTCCCCCAGACTTGTTATGAAAGGGTTTGTATTCTAATAACCCGACAATAAGCCCTTTTTTTGAGCAGGGACTGCAATGCACTAAGACAATAAGCCCTACAAGCCCTAATTCAGAAGGCTCCTTTGAAGCTTTGAGTCGATTTCTAGGCAGCACTGGCTACATGGTGCCTAGGACTTCGGCCACAGGTGCCCAAATTTGAGGCAATGCTATGGCCCTGCACTCTGCAAAGCACGGAAGGAGATTACTTGTGGCTCCTTTGCTAGTGGTGGTGTCCTGCGACCTTACATGCTACGCCGTCTCGGCATCCTCTAGTATGGCCGGGTTTCATACTTCAGCCGCTGGGATTCATGAGTTAAGCGCAGGTCTCGGGCACTTCAGTTTTTCATGTAGGGCCTATGGCCCGAAGCGCCGTAATAAGCTAGGAGTTGGAGGCTCTGCTTTCGAACCAGACCGACCCAAGAGGTAAGCTGCATCCATCCATGGCCAACCCGATGCACGACTTAACAGAGTAGGGCATAGTGGAACATGGAATGGGAAGGGAGGCATAAGTGAAGGCTCCTCCGGGTGCACTTAGGTCTGGGTGCTGGTCATGTAGGGAATTCAAAATTCTCTGGGAAGTGACGCCGGCAGTTGCTGGCTGTTCCGAAGCCACGGCTCCCTTTACAGATCCGTCTCTTCTTCCCGTTTACACTCAACCCCTACACTCCCTAATCTGGAAGTCTCATAAGTTCCCGACGAATGTGACAAGGGAGCCTGAATTGGAACAACCACCGTTAAAAAGGGTCTGCGGCGGCCCTTGCTCTGGAAAGCGTCTTTGCCTTCCTTTACCGCTTGGAACGGAAAGCTGAAATCATTTTTCGAGGATTTGATTCGGATTTCTTAGTGCCTTTGGTTGCTGGAGGATCGGGGCTCCTAAAGGGTTGGTTCTTGGGTTTAGGGGTTTAGGGTTTAGGGCGAGTTTCGGCTTTCTGGGGTTTCAAGGCATCGGCATGGTATCGGGTTCCTTCCGCCGTCGAGTTCACAGTAACAGTATACTCAATCCTAGAAGAACAGGAGTGGCGTTCCTTGGCGGACTAGCTGCCCATGTCAGGTCTCGCAGCAAAGCCTCAGCCATGACCCTAAACCCGAATAGGTCCCATGTTCGGGATCCTCTCCTATTTGTGGCTCTCGCAACTACAACAAACCCTGTCTTTTTTTAAGGGTCCTGTATTCGGGCCAGTTCGAACTCCTGCGACGTGTAGCCTGACATGGAACAGAGAGCCAGGTTGAACATGGTGATATAGGAACCTGAGCAAGAAGCCCCCGGTATACTATGGACCCTAGTAGTATACTACACTTTTGGTTCTCAACTCCGTTCTTTATCAGGTTCCTACATTGCCTGTAGCGGCGGCGCTGTCCACAATATTTTGCCTCTCTGTCATGAGGCCGTGGCTGACGACTGCTACAAAGGTCCGTTTGTGACTTTGCCTTGGAACAGGCACGGCGTACGTGCACAGCAACACTGTCCGCTCAAAGGTTGGGTATGCATGCAACACCGACACAACCGTAGCAACCGTAGCAAAAGCAGTATGTGACAGGACTGACGGCAAGCTGCACCCAACCTCGAGTTCGAGACAGACCCAACTCTCACTGCCCTCTTACAAAGAGGCGCAGAGTCTGGTGTAGGATGCACAGCCAGCACATGCAAGAGTCCCAGCCGCCGGAACACTTCTGAGAATGGCGGCCAGGTCAAACTGCACCACTACACCTCCCCAAACTCGATACTTACTCGCTGGACGACGCCGGGGATGATGCTGACGGATCCTGGCAGCTCCACATGGGAAGTCCCTAGACTGTCAGAAAACCACAAAGCCCCGCAACATATTTACCCAGAGAGCCCAATACCCCTTAATTAAGGAACCTACCTTAAATTATAGGGGCCTTCATATTATGATTTAAGGTATATTCCTTAATTCAGGGGTCTTGGGCTCTCTGGGTATCATTCAGATTCCATCCTTAAGCCCTGTAATAGCCCCTACTCAATCCTCACCCCAATGCATCAAAGCCCAGCCGTGAAATTCCCGAAACCGTACGTTGAACAAGTATGCCCTGAACCCACGTCCCTAAAAGCTGAAACCCTCATGAAAAGAGTATGTTTGAAAAGAGTATAACCTGGACCCCAAGGACCCTGATTGAAAAGGGTAAGTCCTAAACCCCAAACCCTGCAAAAAAAAAGGGTCCACCCCAAATCGTAACACCCTGTTTGAGAACAGAATCCCTGAACCTCCAAACCTTAAGAACCCTTTTCTGAAAAAAAACATGCCCCAAGCCCTATAAGCCATTTAACCACTAAACGTTGACGAAACCGTACCAACCTGGAAGGAAAACAATCCAATCAAAGGCACCTCTCAAAGGAGCCCCTTAAAGGAACCCCTTAAAGAAGGAACCCTCAAAGAAACTCCTTAAAGGAACCCCCTTTTTAAAGGAACCCCCTTGTTCAGACTGGTCTCGGTTGAAGCGCAGGGGCTCCCACGTCTCCTCGCCGGCGGCAGAGACCTGGCTGCTCTAAACCCTAAACCCTAAAAAACGGTTTAGGGTTTTTAGGGTTCTTTTTCCCTCCCACTTAGCAAGGACGAGCGGGGTTCAGGGTTTAGGGCTTCTTCGCTTTGTTTTGGAGTAAACCCCCAAAAGGTTTGAAAAACCGGATTACGGACAGTTAGTGCTGGGATTCCCTACACATCACTCTCTTAGGGAATGAGGCTATTGGGTTTCCAACTTTGGGGCTTCTTCTCTGTAGGACTTCCTCTTGCGTGTTTCAGGGTGTCCGATTGCTGTACAAAAAGGGCTCAGGGTTTCTTTTGCAACCTTTTTTTGGGGGGGTTCTATAGGGTTTCAGCATTCTTGTTCGAAGGAACGGGGCTTCTCTTCTGTGCTTCTAGTCTTTCTGCTTCTCTGTGAGAAAAAAAAGGGTTAAAAACGGAGCATCGGTTGTTGTTCTCTTGTTTCTAGGGCTTTAGGCTTGTGATAACAAGGCCTATAGGTTTCCGGCACTGTATTCGTTGAATGGCCTCGGTTGCTTCTTGTTTCTAGGGTCAAAGACGTCGGCCAAAGTCATGGCTAGAGGCCTGGGGCTTATAGGACAAACCCAACAGTCTCAGGTCACAAGAAACGACAACCCAGAGAGCCCAATACCCCTTAAATAAGCAATATACCTTAAATTCTAGGGGCCTGAATACTATGATTTAAGGTATATTCCTTAATTAATTAAGGGGTATTGAGCGCTCTCTGGGAACTGCTAGAACTGTACTGAGATGGGATCTTCACGAGCGGAAGACACCTCTGAGGCTGGATTAAGGTCCTGGCAGCCACCATCTTGAACTCCAGATTCCGCACGTCCAAGGGAATTCTCATCGAGGTGTGCCTGGGTTTAGGGTTTAGGGGTTTAGGGTGAAGATACAAAAGCTCCCATGGCTCCGCTGACCGCGGAGCTGCCACGGCTTCAGGTTTCGGCTGACATAAGGGTAAGGCGTTTCGGGGTTTAACGGATGTAGGTAGAGTATGTTTGGGGTTGTAGTAGGGTTGAGGGTGTAGAAACTGCGGGTTTAGGGCTTAGAATTGCCATGCCCGGTTGCCAGAACGGAAAAGTGTCGGCGTCGGTCTCCATGATGACGCCCTCCGACACAACCCAATTCCTGCGCAAAAAGTCCGAGTGCAGTGAGGAGGGACCGGGATTCGGGACTTTCAGAACATAACATAGGGGCCTAATTAAGTACCAATACTATTTTGGGGGCTTCCATACAATATTAGTATAGTATAATATACCCCCAAAACCCTGTTCGAATTCCTAAGGAAACGAAAATTCAGCGATGTTACACACGGAAGCCTTGAGAAGAGGGATCCTGGTTCTAGCACCCTTTTAAGGGAGCCCCTGATCTGAAGACCCCCTCCTAGAAACCATAAGAGTAAGACTGAAGCTTCCGGTACGCTACAGCCGAAGATCACCCACTCCAATCCTTGTAGCCTCCCAGAAGTACTTCTGGTTCCCTATTGGGGATATATTAAAAATGATCATTTTTAATCCTTATTGGGGTTTCTAGTAACAAAAATGTAAGATTGTATCCAACAGGGATCCAGACGTGCCTGAAGCTGAAGGAGCTCCTATCTTCCAAGATACCAGGTTTTTTTTTGCATAGGGTTTCGGGATTGGTCGTATGCTTCATGAGGTGCAACGAGTTCGGTAGGCCTAGCATGTACTACGGGCAGCTATGCAATCGAGCTATGCAATCGGATCGAGAAACCGTCAGAACTTCGAGCACTGGCGATGCGGACGATGCCCTCACCCTCCTTTTTTGAGAGAAAACCACCCTGGGCCCTCTACCGAGGAGTTTATCAAGGATATTTCTTCTTCTTCTTCTTCATCGAGGGCTTGGGAGACCTCCAAAACCATGGTAAGTGTCGGAAACCGTGAGTCAGCCAAGTGACCCTAATTCTGGACAGTTGCCGACCAATCGCCTCGGCTGTGTGCAACTTCGTCTACGGTTTATATAAACTGTTCAGCAGCTTCATTCATAACGCTTTAACGTAGCATGGGTCATTTCGAGTTTGTACCAAGGATTCTGACGCTATAGGGTTCTTGTAACGGTTCCGAGGTCACTCAGCTGCTTCGCTTTAAGTAAAAGCCTGGCTTGTCAAGTGCCGGCTCGCCACTGACGAACCTGAGATGATCTATGGATGCACCTACACATCCATTCGTCAACAAGATACAGGTATGTATACCATTCGCTGCCTGCCGCACTGAAGGTAACAGCGAAAAGGCATGCAAGCTAAACTACTTAATTAAAACTGGAATTCGCAACACCGCTCAGCCTACCCCAACAGGGCTGGATCGTATTGGCGAAGCCAGACACACCACAATGAGTGAACTGACCTACAGAGCTGACACGCAGCCCTAAAAACCAACGGCTTGCGCGCAGATCTCAAGGGCCATGTCTTGAAATGCCGAGGGAAGAATTCAAGCGAAGCCGGGGTCTGAAAACCCGAGCCGCAACCTACGCCCCTCCACAGTCCATTTTTCCCACAGTCCATTAGGGTTTAGGGTTTAGGGCTTATATAGGGTTCATAGGATTATAGGGTTTAGGGTTCACTTCTCCTCATTGAAAGGCTAACGATGGCCTAGCCCACAAAATCTTCTTGCTGAGAAGGGGCAGCTCATCACCCGGCTGGGCCTCCTGTGCTATGGAAGTCGCGCGGGGACTGTCCGGGAGGTCTGGAGATAACTGGAAGCACTGGTTTCCTGGTCGGCCAAATAGTGAAGGCTCATTTCAAGCATTTCGCCTTCGAAATCCTCCCAAACCCGAGAAGCCCGGGAGTCAAAAACACCATGAACCCCCAAGACCCCGAACTCACAGCTCGTAAACCCTGAACTCCGCCACAAGACCATGACTTCTTAAACCCGACAGCCGAGCCTGATGGAGGACTTCGAAGTTCAGCAGCGCGGCTTCGTCGACCGCCTCCCTGTAGACTCGCGGGGTTTTTTGCGTCTACAAGTCTCACTTTTGCTCAACCCATAGGCCCCTAAGTAGTTCCCTTTTTGTAGTTTATATTTAGAATCCTAGAAGGTAATCCCGATGGGTACTTCTCCTTCGGGACTGCGGGCTTTTTCCAGGCGCAGCTGCAGCTGCTGAGGAGCTGGGTACTGCTGCACGAATCGCAGTCCGGAAAACCTGTGCCCGTGGGCGCAGGTGCGGAGCGCACAAATTCAGGAAGATCCCGGCAGCCAGGCGTGTCCAAGCTTATATCGCCTTGAGCCTTCATTGAAATCAAGTTGGCAAAAGCAAAGAAAAGACTTGGTGAGCTAGTTGCTGCCCGATTTAACGTCCGGTAAGCTGCTGGTGAGATCTGAATGAAGTTCATTCATTCAAAAGCGAGGTGTGAGAGGCATTTGCTCGACAAACCTGCATCTAAAGGCGTCCGGCGACCGACCCAAGACAAAGAAACCGATTCGTGAACTGCAAAGCTTGTTCGGCCTGCTGGTTTTAAATTGTGGTGCCCAACTACATTTTGGCTCTGAGGTGCTTGCAGAGAGATGTGTAAGTTAATCTGTGTCTTGGAGTGGCCAGGAAGGACTTAAACTACTTGGACAGACCCCAGGCAGTATTCTCCTGGAATGAGTCAATAAGACGACCTACCTACAACAAAATTACTCGGCGGGTGGCATCTTCCTGCTGCCGGTCGGGTTCCGACGTCGAGTCCTCCGATGCACAGGCTGTGCTGTCTTCCAGCTGCTCGTCGGATTCCGACGGCGAGTTTGTGGAACGACTGCACTCCTGTGCCATCACATCAAGCTCCTTGAAAATCGAGAGGACTTCCGCATAGCCACCCCATCTGCGTTCATAGCGCTGCGCCGCCTCCTCCGCTGTCAAACCACCACTGACGGCTGTCCTGCTGGCGCCGAGCTGCAGGAGCGCCCGAACTGTCGCGGGCAAGTTCTGCCGCACGGCTGTGTGCAGGGGGTGACGTCTGCGGCCCCAGGACCACTTGGCGCCGTTCACGTGCAGGTAGCCATTCTGCTCAAGGAAGACAGCCACCATGGCCGTGGACTTCGTCGCCTTGCGTGACTTGTTGCTCTTCCTGGATGGCAGGCGTTGAAGCCGAGCAGTGTCAAGGGAGCCCTCCAAGGCGTCGATCTCAAGCCGACTGGACATGGAAGCAAAGGAACCCGGAGTCCTCAAGGGAGAGAGGCTGCACCTGGGCCCTGGAAGATCGTGGCCCTCTGCATCGAGGGGGCTGGGCTTCCTGGCCTCTTCATGTTGCTCAAAACGCGGCATGGCAACCAAAACGAGGCAGGAAGAGCGGGAGGAGCCAGTCTACAGTTCAAGGAACCTTGGGCCAAAACGGCGGTGCATGGAGCTTGGCTGCGACATGTCGAATCCGAAGGATTCGGCCATGGGTCGCTTGCAGACTTTGAAAACCGAATGGATGGAGGGCTTCCTGGAGCGTACATCGTCTGCTTTTTGCCGTGCAGTATATCAGCATAACATCGCAGTATCTGCGTGCGGAAACAAGAGCACTCCAGATCCCGCTAGCATATTTAAGCATTACTGTAGTATATCGTGATAGTACAGTATGTTATGGTATACTATGATAGGTTGCAGGGCATTTACGGCTATAAGCCATGAACTCGAAAACCTAAAACCCTAAGCTCGAGACTAGGTCCTGGGTGGTATCCTATAGAGCCTTATAGCCCTTATAGCCGATATCTCTCAGCCCAGGTGCTCACACTCGCAGGGCACCCAAATCTGTGCCGCCATGGGCGGTAGCTCCTTAAGAAGGCAGCGAAAAGCAACGAGCAAAGTCGAAACTGCAAGTAGTAAGGGACCCCGACAGAAATCCCAATCGACTGTAGAGAAAAGTCCAAAAGCTCCCGTTCACCCTTTCAAAACCTTCTGCCCCTATAAGTACCCCGAGCCTGTCGTCGGGGCCGGGGATTCAATACCCTAAACCCTAAGCCGTTATGGACTTTCAGGTATCGCCTTGCTTAGAGATCAGATCAGGGGATACCAGTAGGAGACCCCTCCGATGCTCGGGCAGCAAGGGGACTTTAGACCCTGTAGGACCAGCTGTCTCTGCAGCTGTCTCTGCTTTGGCTTGAATAAAGAAATCTCCTGGGGAACCCATACAAACCCTTCAGTGTAAACTGTAATAAACCCTTACAGAACCTTTCTACAGCCCCAGTTCCATCCTACCAAAACAACGCTACGAAATTCCCCAATGACCAGCCCAGGGCACTGTCGCAAACTTCGCACGGCCCATCACCACGCGGGCGGAGCGTGGCGTCGTCACGCAGTCGCCAAGTGCAGTGGCCTCATTAACGGCCCAGGTTCATTTGGACAAGGGTTTCTTGCTTCAGAGGGTAAGGATTTGCACTAACCTGAATACAGACTAAAACAGACCGGAAGAACTCGCGGATTTAACAGGGCTCAGAGGTCAGAGATTAGGAGAATTCCCTGATCCACGGCTTCCCAGCCAACACCGACAGTTCTCACAAGCGGACCTTGAATGTGTGGCTGCAAGGAATGGGATTGTACATGAGGCAAACTGCGACAGGACAGGACGTCTCTCTCTCCCTCTCTCGATCTATTTGTCTCACATGACAATACAACACTAGGTCATTGAGCTTGCCGCAAGCGACTATGTCGTATTCCTGGAGGCTGCACACCAGACGGAGAATGGCCACGCGATGGAACAGAACCCGCAAAAGAAAGGCTGAAGTATTATGGTTTGGCCTAGCTAGGAAGGAACATACGATGCAGGGTCTCTGCTGGCATGTGCGACCCGAGGTTATGAGGTCGAGGGTTGATGGTGAGGGTCAAGGGCCGAAGCAGTCCCTAGACAAGGAGTGGGTTAGGATTTTAAGGCACCAGGCATGGCATCACTTTTAGGGTTTAGGGTTCAGGGTTGGTTAACGTACAAACACATACGGCTGGAGTCTATAGAGGCAGCGGTTCAGGAACAAGTTGGAAGAGCATGCAGCCAGGGCTACAACTGACCGACATCACGATGCACCACGACAACAAGAGTTGAAGGTTCGAGGTCTCTGTGTCGTAAACCCTCAAACGCAGGTAGAATAATGGCCCAATACCTATATAAAAGGCAATTATTCTACATACTTTCTCAGGGTTTCGAGATGCTTTGTTTATATCAGTTGGCCCATCGAACAAGTCAGAGATGAGTCGCGGCCACGCACTTCCAAGCACCGGAAGTATCTCCAGAGTTGATGTAGTACGGGCTGACATGCGTCATGGAAGCGTTTACGACGATGATGGCCTGCAGGCATATAGTTCCACTAATTAATCCCCAAACGTGCCTGACACATATACATCATACGCACTGATCCCCGAGCAGAGTGGAAGTAGCACTTTGTCTCTATGTTGTACATGTCCGTACGTATGTCACGCAAGTCTGTGCCATAGACATGCTCATAAAACCACATCCAGATATACATGCACGCAGAAATGATGTATGCATTTACTTCTGCATCTTTCGATTTTTTCCAGTATGTAGGGATCAACTGGCCACCGAGACCCCAAAGTGTTTGGGGCGTTGGCGGGCAGTCAGCAGAGTCCCGGCTCTGGCGATCTTGTGTTCTCTCTCTCTCTCTCTCTCTCTCCCTCCTCTCTCGGCGCAAGTGTCCTCGGAGCAAGTGTCTCGGCAGGTGAGTGCACTCGCATGGCAAGACGAAGTCTCCTACTCGCACGGTCAGCCTGAGCTCATAGCAGCCTCACGACATGTAGCAAGAGGTCTACTGAGGTTATGACTGCCTCGCCGGCACCGCGGGGTCCCGTTCAGACTGCACTGCTAGAAAAGCTGTTCAAAGTTCAAAGAACAAAATATCACCGATGCGCAGATCAAATGAAACTCCCAAATCAAAGGACTGCCGCTGCCTCTGGCTCGTCTTTGGCCAAGCGCTTCCAGGCATAGACACAGCGGCTGCTGGAATCCTTGTCCTCAGCCAAGTGCATCATGTCTTGCTGCTGCTTCCAAGGCCTCTGTCTCTCTCTCACTGCTATTCTTATGTGAGTACTGTACGCCTGTACGCATATGTTTACAACCGTAGCAACCAAAGATAACTAATGCGTATCTTAATATACTTGCACGGTCACACACACACACACACTTACCTGTGGGGACACTTCGATTAGACCTGCTGGCTGCATCTGTTGTCGGTGACGTGATGGCATGCGCAAGCACAAAAAAACACTATGGGGTGTTAGGGTTTAGGAGTCTCTGGGTAAGCAATGCACGACACGCGAGCCTGCGCCGTTTGTGGCTTCATCAAGGATTCTATATGGAACCCAGTACCTAAAACCTCCCAAACGAAACACATAGAGCAACCTTGAAGGCTTTGGTTTGGGTTGCCTTTTTGCAGAATGCACGATCATGACAAACAGACGTGCTTCAGGGCCTCGTTGTCTGCAAAAGGAGAGTCAATCAACAAGACCGTTCATGTTAGGAAATTATATAGGGTTTACAGGTTTGGGGTCAGGTTTTGGGGTTTTGGGGCCTTGGACGGAGTACTGAGTACTGCCAGCACTCATCCGCTAAACCGACGTCAATCCCAAACAACTACACATAAGAAGATCTAGCCCGAAAGCATAACAACAAGCTGAAAGTGTCGAGCCAATGGAATCCATCCGCGCGGTCCTGTGCAAGACGTTTCTGCGGAACACCAGTCAAGAAGTTCACACACTCGCGAGGCAGGCATGGCGATGAACGTCCGAGATTAGGCTTTAGGGTTTTGGGGGGACTAGCCTGTGAGGCTTTGTTACCTAACCCCCTTACAGCGGAGTCCTCTTGCCGATGGAGGCATTTCAACTGACGGTAGAGCCTGCCAGGCTTTGGCGGATCCGGAGCCCGTGAATCTCAGGACCTACGGGCTCCCGGATGACAGCTCCAAGAGCAAGCCCGACAAAAGCCTACGGGAAATTCGGAAAAGAACAGACAAAAATCGATCTCTTTCATCTGTACACTGCCGTGGAGCAGTACACCTCCTGGCGTCTGCAAGCTGTAAGACAAAAAGTCCGAGACAAAGATCCGACACGGAACTTGACAGCCCTAATCAAGCGCTATAAACCACGTCAGCCGTTAAACCCTAAACCCTAAACCCTTACAAATCCCAAACCCTAAACCCCAAAATTCCAAAAGACCAGGCCGCCACCGCCTTCAGCCTGTCTTACACCCAAGGTCAGGGTCCAAGCGGCTTCATCAGCTTGGCGACCCAGCTGCGCAACCTCGCTTCAACAGAAAAGATCATACACCGCAAGGGTTTAGAGGTTTAGGGGCTTAAGGTTTGGGTAGGGTTTAGGGTTGCACACGCCTTTGTGTTGTAAGGTTAAGTAAGAAAACTGCATCGCTTCCAGGCAGCTGCTGCTTGTCAGGGTCCACAGCTGCAAGCTCCCAGTCAACCGGCTGGGCTAGGGAAAAGCCTTCGCCTTGGAGGCGTTGAGGCCGAGTTTTTATCGGTTGCAAAACGGGATGGATCTTTGGGCTTTGGGGGTTTTCAGGTATGGCTAGCATCCGTGTTTGCAGTTTGCAGGTGCCCGAGGGATGCGGAGGGCTAACATGGGGGCCTTAGTAATCCTGGGAGTAGTAACTGGCGATTGTTCAGACGACTTCTATGGTAGATCTCTGTCGAGAGGTTGCTTTGAAGATGTTGAACCAGAGCGGCAAACAAACAACTAAACCCAAGCTTTGCGTTGTGCCGATGGGCTCGAACAGCGACCATGACTCTTTGACCATGAGACGCAAGGTCATAGGCAAAGAATGCAGTCACTGTTTTTTCGGTAAACATGCACGAAAGGCTATGTATAAGTGCTGATTGACAGACCCAGAACCAGCCAAAATGGACGGACCGTCGCAGCAGAATACTTTTCATGATGTTAATGGTGTGGCTGCCATTCCTGGGCACTGTCATGCTGTGCCAAGACACCAATCTCTGAGCCCATGAACATCAGAGGTCGCCCTGGCATACCCACCATGTACCTTCAATAATGGGGAATGTATGGATCGGTGGTGATGGTTTCCCATAAACCCTAGCCTTCCGTGTCTATCTCGCTGTCTCTTTACTGAGGCTCGGATGCTTTCGAGGACCTCATCAGCAAAATCGGTAGAAGAGTCAAGAAAGTGCTTTTGAAAGGGTGCTGGCTGCTTTCCAAGATGCAAGAATAGCAATCGAAGCTGCGCAAACTGGCCCTCCACGCCCACTCGCTTGTTAGGTGCCATCTGGTCCAGCAAGCTTTTCGGCTGCATGTTATCATGGGAGAAGGGCAGCACCCAGCGTTCGTTGAAGGCGTACGCCAAATACCATGCCAGCCTCTTCCACCCGAACGTATCCAGCTGAGGTCGCTCCTCTGGGTCGGCCCCAAAGTACGACAAAGCATCGTAGGCAAAGCCCATGTTCCACTTGAGATGGAATCCCAAATCACGGATCTCCGCCTTGGAACCCGGGAGTGTCAGAAAACAAGTAACCACCAATACAAACCCTAACGACTGAAAGGTAAGACCTTTTGGGCCTACACCTGAGCAGGCAGCCAGAGAGACGCATCCAAGCAGAGTGCGTGTGAGCAGAACCCCAAACGATATTGATACTAACATTGAGATTGGTATTATGAATAACAAGAACATGAATACTCCTACGAATACGAATATCATACTCATACAAAGGTTCATACGTGTACGAACACGAAACTAACCCCAATACTCGACGATTAATACTCAGAGTTGTATCAATATCAATAAAAGTCTGAGAATTTGTAATCATGATACTATTATTGATATCAAATTGAATACTGATACTCCTATGAACACTACTACTCGTAGTAACAGTGATACTAGAAGTGATATTCGTATCCATATTAAAGGTAATACCAATACAAACATCGCTGCGAAGATGAAACATCATATTAGTAGTAGTATTAATGCTAATACGGTTATTCTAACTAATGCCAATATTTATACTAATACCAATATCAATACAAGCAACAATACTCCTACGAATGTTAATACACATACACTCACGCCTGTTAATGACATACAATTACCAATCTACTAATACTGACATTGACAATTGATTGAATCCTCAAGTTTACACTAGTTTATTAAGACGAATATTGACACTTATATTAAAGCTGATACGAATAGGACAAGGCAAATGCTAATATTAACAGTAGTACTCCAACGGATACCAATAGTCATATTGCAACAGATATGAAGTTGTATAGTAATACCAATACTAATACACACCTGCATATACTCGTGTATATAAGTATACATACCGGTATACTAACATACAAACACATTAACGCAGTCATGTACTAATATATTAGTATTCTTCACTCACCTTTATACCAACATGCTAATATACTACTATTTTGATGTACGAATATATGAATATTCTCATATACTCATATACCAACACGGTAATATACAAGTATGCTGGTATATTAATATACTACTATACCAACACATTGATATAGCAAAAAAATGGGTTAATATACGAATATTGTCGTATACACAAGTACTAAAGACTCATATACTAATATATGAATATACGAATATACAAATATACTTATGATGTACCAATACATTAGTGTACTCATGCACCAATGTACAAATACATTAATATATATATATATACACATACGAGTATATATGTATACAGTTACACTACTATAGTAGCATATTAACGTATTGATATATTAATCTGCTAGTATACGAATCTATTAGTATACTAACAGTCACATATGAGCACTACGTCTAATATTAAGACTAACACTAGTGTCACTAGTGCTTCTGCGAATATTAAAACTGACAGCATTAAGACTGATACTAATACTAATACTAATGTTAATGCGACACTGACACTGACACTGGCACTACACTAACACGAACACTGACACTGATTCATACTTACTGCTATTGATATTAATACTTATACTAAATACTAAATACCAATGCGGATACTAATGCTAAACTATACTAATATCAATACAACACCTTCACTAAGGCTAATATCACCACTAAGAGTAGTTTTAAAACTACTACAAACAATAATAGTGGTACTAAGGTTAGAGGTAAGAACAAGGCTGAGTCACGATAGTAATTAAGACTAAGACTAAGACTAGGTTTAGGAGCGTTGCATGAATGTGTAGAGGTTCCAGCAAATTGCAAATAAGTTTACCAATTCAAACAAATCGTAGAAATCAAAAAAATCAAAAACTGCAAAATTTCCAAACATTCAATTCATTCCAAAATTTACAAAAAAAAACACATTCCAAATTTCCAAAAATCTAGACCCTATTTGGCAGAGTCGGTCCTTACCATTAGGGGGAGAATTTTGGATTTCTTGGAAATTCTGGAATTTTTGTAATTTTCGGAAAGTTAGGGGGAGCAATTTTGGAAATTCTGAAATGTTTGAAAAGTCTTGAAAGCTAGGGGGAGGGGTTTTGGAAATTATGGAGTTGAATTTAGAAGAGCTGATTGTCACCCATGCGTTGACAGATCATGCCTGATTACAGGGCATGGTCTGTCAACGGGGGGCGACCGTGTACACATATATCTATATATACACACATATTTATATATATGTATATATATATATATAGATATATAAATATATAAATATATATAGGTATGTATATATATATATAATTATAATTATATGTATATAAATTTGTGTATATATACATTTGTATATATATATATATGTATATATTGTCTTTAATCCGAGCTACCTGGTGCCTCTCGGTGCCGTTCTCTGCGGGACGATCTGTCACCTCGCAGAATTGCTGAGATAGTTTTGCTGATCGCTCTCTCTCTGCCGGGCCTAGTCACGAGTCCTGGTCGTTCTTGAGATGATGGCTTGGGAGTGTGACAGAAAACTCCGAGCTCTAACGCGAGCAACTTGAAAGCGTTGCATTGCGTATCAGTATCAGACCCACCTCCTAAAACACTGGTAGGCACTGGCATACATAACATCGGTTGATATGGAACTGTCCATGCAGTGATACAGGCACAGTCAAGCAGGAGTGAGAGGGAGAGCGAGAGAGACAGACTGACAGTCAGGCAAGCAGGCCATGCAGACAAAAAGACAACACAACCACGACCAAACGTAAGTATGGAAGCTCCTACCCTGTGAAAACCCACACACACGTAGATGGCATGGACAATCTGAAGACGACGGCGCTAATGCTCGCATATGAAAGAACTAGAATCAGCCGGGACTTTCTTTCCCAGACGCCCACTTGAAGTTCGTGGACTCCTCTGCAGAAAGGATGACCCCCGGATGCCGCGAGCGAACCTTGCGAGGTGGGGCTGTGAGCCGGGGCGCGGTAGAGCTCCGGAGGTTTGCTTCCGGTATGCCGAGTTTCGAGAACCCTTCCGCCCATGGGGATCCCTCATACTCCCGACGTCTTGGGACGACAATGCGAGCTGCAGTTTGCAATGCTGCGTGCTGCTCCTGCTGGGGGCGCCACCACCACTTCGCCACTACTACCGCTACGGCGACGACGACGATGACGAGTTCGAGGACAACGACTGCTGCCACCCAGAAGTGCTGCTGCTACATTCTCGCTATACCGTTCCACTTCCACTACCATGAACACCATCAGGACCTAAAGCGACAACCACGACGACTGCGAATACAGTAACTCCTTCTGCCAGTGCTTCTTACACTTGTTACAATTTGGCGATGAGAGTTGCAGCTCCCGATGTTGTGAGTATTTTTCCAATCCACGACTATCAGCACGTCGTGCCGGAGCCTCAGCACAGAGGCGCCGCAGCAGGGTAATGCCGTCCTCATTCAACTTGCCCTGATGGCCGTCGATCGAAGGCACAGCATCATACGACGGTGAGTTCGGGACTTCAAGGCCTGACTTCGGGTGCAGAGCTGGCTCTGTCGAAATGACGGGTTGCTGTACTTATTCTCCCCCCCCCCCCCCCCCTGCACACAACATGGCTGGCACGGGCTTGAGCTCAAAGTCTCGTCAAAGACGTGCAATTCACAGCAGAGCCTTTCCAGCCATGATCTTGTCGCCGTCCTCCTCCCGACCAAAGTTGCGGTAAATCATGGCCTCGAATTGACGAAACTCTGCCACAAACAATAAAAACTGGGCCCAGCATGTTAGACCTTCAGCTGCACTGCATAAGTGGCGGGTGCCCCCCTATTCCTCAATGCTTCACAAAGACGTTGGAAAACTCAATCCTTCTTGTATCCATGACCATCTTGCAGGGGATCACCACACTTATGAAATGCCTCGTCCGGGCGGGGGGGGGGGGGGGGGGG